AGATAGATAGATAGATAGATAGATAGATAGATAGATAGATAGATAGATAGATAGATAGATAGATAGATAAAAACAAATATAGGGACAAATAAGTTGGACAAACTAAATTATACAATGAAATTCTGTGACCTTGTTTTAATTTCCTTTTATTTCCATTTTCATATTCCACTCTAATCTCCTAAACTAATAGGGACATGAGTTTAAAGCACATCAATCCATTCTGGCAGGTATCAACAATGCAAAACAGTCTAGGAAACAGAAAAGAATGAAAAAAAATCATCTTTTCAAAGTGCTTTTGAAAATCCCCTGTACACTCTAATGTTTAATGCATGAAGGTTAAAACATTCATAATAATGAGTCATCGGTAACTGAAGTAAAAAAAAAAAAAGACAATACAAGGCAATATAATTAGATGAGATTTTGAGTGGAAAAATTCATCGCTGATAACTGACAGTCCCTCTTCGAGAGTCTGTGAACTGGTGTGTTTGACAATCACTGGAGCAATTGCCTTTTTCAGGCAATTAATTTTTAATTCGGTCCCAAGAGGGCTGTGTCACTGTGGCCAACTGCACTCATTTTATTTGATTTTTTTGGGGGTTATTTAAGATTGATTTGTTTTTATTCTGAATAGGACCATTGCCTTAACATGCAGGTCATACATTTAACCTAACAGAACACAATCCTCTTGAGAAGGTGACTTTAAAAAAACTTGTAATCACTGAAGTCATGGAAAAGGCTGTGCAGGAGGTACAAAGCAATCCAAAGTTCGGAAACAGAGATAAAAGTAAAAGGTAAAGCTATTTCAGCAGTGTAAACATTTGTACTGAGTAAAGTTCTGGCCACAGCGTACCATGTGAGGGTGAAGCACAAAATAAAGAAGCCATGTATTTTCTGTTTTTTCTGAACTAAACTGAATTTTAGAAATGTTGCTATTAATGTGGTTTCAAATGTGTCTTCAAATGCTACATTTTCCATAGAGGAAAACAATCTAATTTACATTTGGTACCAGCTCTGAGAAAGGCATTGCAGTCTAACTCCATAATGTGTCATTATTATGTTGGCCAAGCGTACTGCTTTACAGATTGCAAAATGATTTCACCTTCGGGACTTGGAATCATTGCATGTCATCGTCTCAAATTTAAAGTCAATATACTGTGGACTGTCACGGTCCAGCTTTATGTGACATTGTCTGATAACTTGCAGTCAGTCATTTATAACTGTAAATATCTAAAATGTGTTTTTTGGGGGTTTATATAATGATTAAAAATGATAAACTTTGAGATGATAAACCATATGAAAAAGGTTACATTTTGAAATAAAAATCTACTTGCAGAGTAAAATGTTACTATCTTCTGTGCCTTTTTATTTTTGCACATGGTACTCTGAGAGTGCCAACGTTTGTGTCCTTTTTTCTTTATGTCCCCTCCTTTCAGTTAAAGCATCAAGGCCCCTTGAAATTCAAGGCCTTCGGCTCTTCCAGGAGACGAGTTGAAAAAGAGGTAAATAGTGAAGTGAGTGGAAATTGACAGTCAGATAGACAGTGATAGATGGATTAGGGCAGAGGGAGGATGAGACACCGCCCTTCCCCACACAACTGAATCCCCCCTTTCCCCCCCCACCACCCCTGCAGCAGACAGGGAATAGAATCTGATTAGTCAGATGTCAACTGGTGCGAGGCGGCAGAACGAGCCTCCGTTTGGGTGGCAAATGGCACCGGGACAGAGCTGGGAACACATCTATTCCTTTTCACGCCAGAGAAGGCAGCGGCTTCCCGCTCTCGATCCGTGAAGAATAGCAAAACCACCCGTATTTATTTTTGCCAAATTCCTATTAGGGTGCCGTAAGAGGTGTCGCGATCTCAAGCCACAGTTACTTTGCCAGGAGGCATGGGACACGTGCCTTCGATGTATGGCGGCGAATTGTGACGAGAAAAGACACGTCGGTTTTTCTCCGAACGGCTGAGATTTGTCTGAACCGCGTGGCCAAACCATTGTGACAGTGAAATCTTACTCCCACAATAAAAAAAAATGTCTCCCTTTGATTAAAGGGATGACTGAGATGGGCACCAAAAGACAGAGAGAAGGAGAGATCCAGCAGAGGCATGCAGAAAAAAAAAAGTTACAAGCTGTGTGAATTTATATTCACATAGCTTAAAGGGGTACATTAAGCTTTATCACATCATACAGCCCCCCTGAAACAATCTGTATGCAAATAAAGCCTTACATATGGTTGGAGCTGTTTGTAGCTCTGCCGGCAAGATTTTCTCCATAGTCAGGGAGTTTTTGTGGGGTTCGCAGATGTTCTTTAATCTGTAATGGATGCTGGCATTGGAGCAATCCACTCCGGAGCATGTCTTTAAAACTGTTTATTTGATATGTCTTAATGCTATTGCACTTCCGCAAATTGAGCAGCGAGCTGTTTAATTCAATCAAAACTCCGGCAAATGAGCGTGTTTAATGCCTCTGCGGATTCCCACGCTAATTGTTTGTGCTATACTGTGAGTGTTTAAGAAAAGCTCCCTTAAAAAAAGGAGTTTGTGACTCCTGTGACTTAGACGGAGAACAGAGAACGACGGAACAGTGCGTTCCCTCCTGCACTTACCCGTTTTTAAACCTCGCATGCCGGCGCATGTCTAATAGCGTGCCGACTTATTGGACATCGCAATTCATGAGGCACAATGTGCGCGGCGAGTAAGAATGGAGTCGAGAGAAAAGGTTACTTACTGACTTCTGTGGCGGTTACTGTGATGTTGTGCCACATGTCCGTCTCCCGGTCCAACGGTTTGGCCAGCGTGATCTTCCCGTCGTCCACGTTAATGTTAAACTGCCTCTCCAGATCTGTGTGGCGGTCGATGAAGTACCTGTAAAGATAAACAAACACCAGATATTTGAGCCAAATCGCTTTAGCAGAAAGCTCCACTGGAGCGTCTTTGGAATTCCTCTGGGGGCGTTGTGGCTAATGGACCCCTTATTCATCAAGAAGAAAACCTGGAGATCAATGTGCATTAAAAAAAAAAAACAGTACAAAATCAATAATTATCATCTGAGGAATAATTAGAGCCTTCACGTGAGCGGTGTTACGGCCTAATAATTTCTCCAAAGCCTCCCTACAATCAGGTTGAAGACCCTGCTCATGTAAAAGAAAAAAAAAATACCATTAGCACATGTTACAGTATGACGGGGAAAAATGTGGGTTTGTTAACCCCATTTGGCATCTCAACACTCAATGGTTCCCAAAAGCTTTGTGTTAATGAGTTCAGACAGTGGTATGTCACACACAACACAAAATAGTTGGGGGGGGAGGGGGATGATGGATGCAATGGATATGAACTGTGTGACCTGGGTCTTAAGCGTGCACTTGTTTGGTTTGCTAGCTCATTTGTATTATTTTCTCTCCCAAATTTCATTAGAAAACCTCTATGTCAAACAGTTCAAATTCCAGCCGTGCTGTTTTTGAAACTCTGCCCGTGACACGCTGACGACGCTCAGAAAAACCTAAAATACAGCGGCGACGCTTACGACTTCTCGCGAAAAACGGGCCGAGGCAGAAGGTATGAAATTGGGAATGCACATAAAAGGGAATTTCTCTGATGCCATTTGAAGCTGTGAAATTGCCCTTTCATGTCGCGGCGTGCACAGCTCCATTTCTTGGAGAGACATGCCTACACCCAAAAATTGCCCCCATGAAAAAAAAAGAAAAAGAAAAAAGGCTGTCATTACGGGTCATCTTCGGTTTCGCGCCTTCGGTTTGACGTCGTGTGGGACTGTCGTAAACGGCCCACTCGCCCGGATTGCGAGGCCGCTGTGATTCACGTGAGCTAATTACACCGTGTACCGGGCATCTATCTCCATCCCTTTCGGGACAAACTCCCCCTTGCTCGTCTCTGGCTGTCTCACTCTCGCATCCTCCCTCGCAATCTCTTCCCACTTGTGCAGTGAAGAAGCAGTTTTTGTTGTTTTTTTCCTTTTTTTCCCCTTTTCTTTTCTATCCTGCAAGGTCTCAAGCTCTTCCCTAATCCATTCGGCAAACCCCCTTCTCCCCTCTCTCTCTATTTTTCTCTCACAAGGTGCCCCCCTCACCCTGGATCTCATAGGTTCCCCATTCTGGAAAGCGTTCATTCCCCGGTAACCAGAGGCGTTCGAAGGAGCGAAAAGAGAGGGCCCGGCCGGGTAAAGGAAAGACAGAGACGGGGAACGAGAGGCAGAGAAAAAAAAGAGCACCAGACAAAAAAGCCACAACAACTGTTTACACGAAGGAGGGGCGCGCACGCTTATGCAAGAACGGCGGGGAATTAAATAAATAAAAACCGCTGGCCCAGATTCCAATTGTTGAGGAGATGTACCGAGCCGTGACATTTCCATTTTTGAGATGAAATGGTGTAAAATCCTCCAGACGACGGGGCTGGGAGAGGTCCACAAGGACCTCCCTCCAACCCCCACCCCCCCCACTCCCACCCCCCAACCCCTCCTCCTCCTCCTCCTTTTTCTCTCTTGCCCAGCAGACGCAGAGCACTTTCAAGACAGGCAGACAGCAGGAACCCACCTGGGAGCAGCCTCTCTCTCCCGCAGACTGAGTGGATCCCAGTCAAACTCTTGACAGGCTCACGTGGAAAGAGGGAGACAGACCCTGAAATGTTCTGCCACCTGTCACTCAAGCTGACAAGGTGATGTGAAAAGAATTAAAAGCAAATAAAAAAATATATATCGAGAAATGAAAAAAGAAAAATCACATCCTGTGTTACACACGCACAGTTTTTCTCGAATACGTCTCTTGTGCCCGTGCGAGCTGGTTTATAAAGTCGGTCCAACTTAGCTTTTTTTTTTTCTTTCAGGGGGACTTTAAAAGCTGTCGGACTGACCTCGATGCCAGACTGGAGCGTTAAAGCAGAGGCCCGCTTGTGACTCAAATGAAGCTGCACACAATGACAACAGTCAGCCTTGATGTGAAATAAAGATAATACACCTATCAAAGTGTTGCGGTTTGACAGGAGCTGTTCTACAGAAAAAAAGGACATATAAGCTGTAATCAGGGAGACTGTTATTCTTCTTTTCTTTTTTTTTTTACCCCGTTCGCTTACAGATCTTTGTGCTGCCTCTCTCTCACAGTTTGCCTGTCAGTCAAACAGTGTGACCGGTACATGCTCTGCTGTTTGAGTTTCCGTGGGTGGCAATCTTTAGTCTCTTTAGCTAGGCTGGCCACCGTTGCTCCAGTTCCAGGGCAGACAACATGGATTTAAATTTGGATCTGGCAGTCTACGACATATGCCCCCTTTCAAATTTCACGCGCATGTCGATCACGGTGCCACATGTATCACGTGGCTAATCTCGGCAAAAAGGCGAGCACGGCCATCTATAGAAATGAAACTGAACTCAACATGTACACACGAAGTGGAAAACGAACGGCAGTTGACACAGAAGCCATTTTTTAGGGTTTAGTGAGCGAGAGGGAGGCAAATTGACTCCACAGCAGCTTACGTGCATGTTAAAAAAAAGATGTCCTGCCAATTCTAGATATGCATACAGCTGACACTTCTTTAACCTTATATGGATGTGGATTTTTTTTTCTTTTTTTCAGAAGTTGCACTATAGTAAATTACCTAACTGGTATTATCTAAATTGGCTAGATTTTTTTGTTACTGAATAAGACATGGCAGCAAAAGCAGAGGGCAGTTTTATTGGGAAACACTTAGGAGAGAATACACAATCAGCAGCTGATTAAAAAGCTGAGAAAAAAAAATCAGACAAGTGGAAGGTTTCATTTATCGAGAAAAATAATTCCAACGTCTTTCATATGTTGTGGAAGTCTTGAGGTTTCCAAATTCTTTTGTGTTTCATTTTGGACACAACAGTGTACTTTGAACATATGATAAAAGCAAATGTTAAAATGAGTACCCATCTTATTAGCAAAATTTAGTCATTATTCAGAGGATATTGTCATCTATAAAAACATCTTACCTTACATTTCACGGGGTAATATTCAGCAGATATTTCTCCATGGTTCCCTCTGTAATTGAAGTTAACGACAGCAAAAAAATATCACCTGGCTGATTTTCTGTGGCTAACTTGAACAGGTGGTGTTTTACATAGCTTGCCTTGGACTACATTGGCTAAACGATTTACTTTAAAGTGTCTACATCAGTTTGGGGGAATTTTGAATGCCTGTTTATTTATTCATGTTTTTAATGGCATTTAGACTGTACTCACATCAAGAAATAAGCAGATATGACAGACTGCCAGAGGTAGTTTGCTATGTGATCCTACAGATGGTGCTCTACTGTGAGCATCGACCTAAAAAAGGTGCGTTTTGGTATTGTAAACTGACGTTATCTTTGCTATAATAACTGATAAAATGGAGGGACCTAATGAGCAAGGCTTTCCTAGCATCACACTTATGAAAATAAGTTATCAGAAAAGCATTTTTATGTTGTATTCTAAACCCTGACTGGAACAGTGGTGACCAAAGGCAAGGCCATTCACTGATTGCGTACAAAGCATCTCTATTATTCTTGAGCAACGACAAAACTGTGGATTCATCTGCCTTTTCTTTTCTTTTTCTTTTTTAATGCCGGGTCAGCGTCGGGTCCTTTGCATAAACAACCTGCTGCTCAAACCAGTCAGCTACGGTAGGCCCCGTGCCATAGGTTGGTAAAAGTGCCATAACAAACGGGATATCAGGATTCAAATGTAAAAATACACTGATGTAGTGGGTGACATATAACATTTGAATGACTATCTGTACTTCAAATTGGACCAAAACTGACTTCTGAAAAGTTTTACAGCATAGAATCTATGTAGCCTCTCACAGGCCTGAAAACTGGAAACCCACTAGTAATGTTCTATAGTGATCAAGCTATGCATTGACAATATTAGCTGTGCTCTCTCTTATGTACAACCTAACATATATCCTCGTAAGATTCCACTCAATTGCAAACTGAAACGGATAGCATCTGTGGGGAGGTTCCTGAGTGCCTGTAAGCCTTTTGTTTTTCAGCGTTTGAATGTGTGCATGTGAGAGCTTGAATAAGTTGGAGTAAGAGGAGGTGAAAAGATCGTGGAAACATTATTTATTTATTTATTTCCGTCCACAGAGAACAAAATGCCTCTGACATTCCCGCTTGTTATTAGGTCAGTAATTCCTCTGGGAGGATCACAGATGTAGAACTAATTTAGTCGTCCGCCCGAATGCTGACCGTTTGTGTTTTGTTCACTGCATTTTATTCAGGTTGGCTCCCGAGCCATTTGAAAGGTCCCACCTAATCTATACCATAAATAATAAAACATCAGAGATAAAACAAAAAAGAAAGAAAGAAGAGAATGAAAGCGAATTCCTCCACGGAATAGCAGACCTTGGTCAAACTGACAATACATTTCCATTCGCTTCAAAACCACCTCGTGTACGCGACTGTTTGTATTACCATATGCAGCATGTCAGCTGTCAGCTGTGCCGTAGCCTAACAACACGGCAAAGCCTTCCGAAATAAACAAGCTACCGCGTTTCCCCGGAATTTCCACAAAAACATAAGCAAAACTGAGAAGAAAAAAAAAAAGTGACAAAATATGTATAAAACATAGAGCTAAAGATTTTGCCTATTCTCGTCACAGTAACAATATTTTGGAAAGGAAAACGCACTCCCGGCACTTCGTCTCAGACAACCTCGGTGACTGCCAGATGTCACATCGCTTTTTATCTGGGATCAGTCAGGTAGAAAACGACAGAGCACGGGGCTCCGGAGAGAGAGAGAAAGCAACACTGAGGGGGAAGCGCGCTTCGTGAGTGCACCTGAAATGTTATTGGTTGGATGCATTAAGTACAGCTAAGGGGGTTGTTTTGTGTCTCCTGAGTGCGGCGAGGACATGGCAGCCCACCAGAGCACTCGCCCCCGCGAGTGGGTTTTTAGGGGGCTCAGACTGGTTCGGTCTGGCCAGGCGGGGATGTTTTGAAGGAGGGAGAGGGTCAAGGTTGGAGGCGCTTTTAGATGGAGAGCGATTCTAATCGGAGGGGGTTCGGCTCGGGAAGGTGGCAGGTGCATGTCCACATCAACACTGCTATTAGCTGTGCCACTCGTCATGTGAGCTAGACCCATCTCCACAAAGCAGGATAGATAGATAGATAGATAGATAGATAGATAGATAGATAGATAGATAGATAGATAGATAGATAGAT